CTGGGTTTGTCTAGTTTGGAGAAAAGGAGGCTGAGGGGCGACCTCATTGCTCTCTACAGCTTCCTGAGGAGGGGAGGTGGAGAGGGAGGTGCTGAGCTCCTCTCCCTGGGATCCAGGGACAGGACTTGTGGGGAATGGTTCAAAGCTGCAGAAAATTTCTGAGAGGGTGTTGAAACCCTGGAACAGGCTTCCTGGAGAGGTGGTCGATGCCCCAAGCCTGTCAGTGTTTAAGAGGCATTTGGACAATGCCCTTAATAATATGCTTTAACTTTTGGTCGGCCCTGAAGTGGACAGGTCATCAGTTGGACTAGGTGATCATTGTAGGTCCCTTCCAACTTGACTATTCTATTCTAAGATGGGGTTTTTGCTGTGGGGTTTTTTTGGTTTTTTTTTTTTTTTGCTGTAGTCTGTCTGTATTTTGAGATGACAGGAGAGATTGTCATTCAAAGTTTGGTGCACAAAACCACATTGTCACCCTTCTGTTATCAGAGGGCAGGCCAAGCCATCTGCTAGTGAGTCATCTTCTGGTCTACTCGGTGTTTGCTAGTCATATCTGTATTTACCAAGACATGTCACTCTCTTAACCCAGGCTCTACTGGATCCAGATGAAGCAGGTGATTGGGAAGAGCCCAGGGATTCACCAAAAGTAAACCGTGTCACGCTAACCTGACCACCTTTTACAACAAAATAACATTTTCTGTCGACATGGGGAGAGCTGTGGCTGTTGTTTGCCTGGATGTCAAAGCGTTCAACACCGCTTCCCACAGCCTTCTCCTGGACAAGCTGGCAAGGTGCAAACCGAATGGGTGGTCTGCGAGATGGGTAGGAAACTGGCTGAGCTCAGGGGTGGTGATCAATGGTTTTTACTCAGGTCTACTGGTTTGGGAGGCCTCACCGGACTCCATGCGACTAGGAAAGGTGGTAGCTGTCTTCTCCATTAGCTGCTTTTCAGTGATTTCTGCTCTTCCACACTGCAGTGAAATAGATGTTCCATCCAGAGCCTTTTTCTTGGAAGAAAATCATCCTATAGAGTCTTTTTTCTTCTGCTTTTAACCAGAACACTGTCTCTTCAAGGCTGCAAGCTGTTGAATTGCATTAGGATGATGCCTTACGCTCAGCACTGTGTTGCAGCACCCTTCCCGGTACAATTCCAAGGTCACAACTCTCTCAATTTTGCCGCATGGATGCTTTTAACTGAAATACTTCCGTATGTTATGCGACCTGCAGTGCCAATATCTAGGCCTGCCCTCTGGTCTCTTCCCTTCAACTCCCTCTTTCTCTTCGCTATCGGTGCACTCCCCACCTCTCTCTTCATTCCTCAGGACCACTCGCAGAAGAGCTGATCATCTTCTTCTGGGGTTAAGCAGAGTGAACGATGCCATCATTAGCAGAGAGAGGACGGAATGTGAAACGCAGTCAGCCTGTGCTGCTTGTGTATCAGGTGATGCAAAAATATGGGAAGTCCATGATGTTGTTAGAGAAAAAATTTACTAGGATTTGCTTTCTGCTAATTTAAGCTGATGCAGCTCGTTCTTTCCGGATCAGGCTGTTTATATTCTCTGCCTTTTTCATATGTCACTCTTACTCTTTTTTTCCCCCCAAACCACTGACCATAACTGTTTAAAATACAGGCTTTACATGTGAATGGTTCTTTTTGGGAGGCAGAACTTTCCATACTGCTTTTTTTCAGCTACATATGGAGAGAGCGCTAGGGAGGGAGTCAGGGCTGACAGATAACCTAGTGCTGTGGCCAGGGAAATTCTGGCACAGCTGCATTTAGCCATCTTCTTTACACGTGAAGATCCTTAAGCTCAATGTAAGTTTACCGTTTCAGCTGAACAATAGAGCAATTACCCTGAGGGAATAGAAGGGAGGAGTTATCGTAGGGTTATTTTATAGCGCCTTTCCTAGATCTTAAACACCAGTATTATCCTTCTCTTCCACGTTCTCAATGAATGCTTTCAAATATTGGTTCACTGTTGTATATAGGAGGGAGAGACAGGGTGGGTACATATATGGGGGGGGTATTTTTATAAAGAATCATTGTGATAGGAATTTCTTCTCCAAAATTCTACTTTTTCTGAGACAGACTTAAATATTAGAATGATGTGGATGTGGATGCTCAACATTTTGAAGCAGTGGTCTTCTGGCACAGTGAGGAAGCACTTGACTCTCTGTACTGGTTTTGGCTGGGACGGAGTTAATTTTCTTCATAGTAGCTGGTATGGCGCTGTGTTTTGGATCTGTGACCAGTGTTGATAGCACAGGGATGTTGTAGCTGTTGCCGAGCAGTGCTTGCACAGCGTCAAGGTCTTTTCTGCTTCTCACCCCACCCCACCAGCAAGGAGGCTGGGGGTGCACAAGAAGCTGGGAGGGGACAAGGCTGGGGCAGGTGACCCCTATATTCCATACCATATGACGCTGTGCTCAGCAATAAAAGCCGGGGGAAGCAGGAGGAAAGGGGGTGTTCAGAGTTACATGTCTGTCTCCCCAAGTCACTGTGGTGTGTGATGGAGCCCTGCTTTATGGCTGCCCGCCCGCCTGCGACGGGAAGTAGTGAATGAATTCCTTTTGCTTTGCTTGCGTGCGCGGCTTTTGCTTTAACTGTTAAACTGCCTTTACCTCAACCCGCGAGTTTTTGCACTTCTGCCTTTCTGGTTCTCCTCCCCATCCTGCTGCGGGGGCGTGAGTGAGGGGCTGC